TTATGACCTTGTCCATGACACTCAACCTCTCTGTCCTTCAGTATCTCACCTATCAATGGGAAATTAACATTGCCAAATTTGACATGATAATCATAATGACTTGCTATGTCTGAGCAACTCTTTGAAGGCATGAGTCCATCTGAAGGCCAGATGTAGACTGGGCAGCCACTCAGGACACATTCTTTGTATGTCTTCTCTGCCAGATCATCACCTACAGGGATTTTCTGCCCTTAGTTCTGGGAAAGGCCCGGGCCAGAAGAACCCTGGGGTCCTACAGAGGGTATTGCTCCAACGTGGACCCACGCGTGGCCAATGTCTTCACCTTGGCCTTCCGCTTTGGCCACACCATGCTGCAGCCCTTCATGTTCCGCTTGGACAGCCAATACCGGGCCTCAGCATCCAACTCCCGTGTTCCACTAAGCTCTGCATTCTTTGCCAGCTGGAGAATTGTGCATGAGGGTGAGGCTTTCCTAGGGCAAAGCAAGAGAGGGTGGGAAGCACTCCTTCCCCCAGGTGGGTCCAGCTGACTGCCAGGAGGCTAGGCTGTGTCGAAGGCTGCTGCTAATGTCTCCCCAGGACTGTGGAGAAAAGGCAGGGCCAGCAAGACCCTCAAGCATGGACCTCCCAGGCCCTGAGGGATGAGGGGATTGAGACCTATGTTAGCCTGGCACGTTGTGGACCTGCAAGGAGCTCACCATCCCTCTTTTAAGAAGTGGGTTAATCCCTCCCAGCTGCAGCTCCCTCCTGTCCACCCACAGAGGTTCTAACAAACATTAGAAAATATGCAACTGGCTTGTGCAGCTCTAGCTAGCTTGGCATCAGGGGCTTCTCAGAGGTTGGTCCAATCAGTGCTGCTCTCACTCCCTGCCACCAGGTGGCATTGACCCCATTCTCCGAGGCCTCATGGCTACTCCAGCAAAGCTGAACCGTCAAGATTCTATGCTGGTGGATGAGCTCCGGGACCGACTGTTTAGGCAAGTGAGAAGGATTGGGCTGGACCTGGCGGCTCTCAACATGCAACGCAGCCGAGACCACGGCCTTCCAGGTAAGGGAATGCCTGTCTCTCCTCACAGGCTTCACTCGGGTGTGGGCTGCTCAGGGGGTTCAGAGAAGACCTGGGAGCCTCTTTCTGACAGGAACTGTCTACAGGATGTGCAGGGGTGCAGAGCACTCAAGGCTGAGGCTGATGTACCAAAGCACCCCTGGGAGCCTTTGAAAGCCATCCTGCCAAGTCCTCCCCATATGCTGTAGGGCCTCCAGCTTTGGGTTCACCACAGGACAAGGATTTGAGTGCAGGAGCTGGAAAAAAGGAGATAAGGACTTTCCAAGTAGAGAAAAGTGGTAGATATAAAAGGCAGAGGACTGCTTCAATCGCCACCTCTCTGGAAAGTTCCAAGGAGAAAGGCTACAATTCCAAGGCTATGGAAACTGGCTCCTTGTTCCGGTGGGGTAAAAGTCAAAGAGCCTAGAGGCAAGGAACAAATGGAATAAAATTAAGGCCGCATTAGTTGTTTGATAAAAGACTATACCAGGAAAAAAGAAAGAATAAGCACTTTCTTATATAACTTATTTAGTCCCCCTAATGACCTTGAAAAGCAGCTATAACTGCCACATTATAGAGGAGAAAATAAGCTCAGAGACAGCTAGGTATTTATCCAAGGTAATACAAGTAAGAAGTAATAAAAATTTGAAATTAAATTTCAAATGTCCCCCCTTCTTCCCACTGTCAACTCCATTCAACTCCTTTGGGGAGGCCTTCAGCCACTGCCTTGCCCCTCCCTCCTTCCCTGTCTCCTACCTCCTGTATAGATAGAACCTGAAGCCCCATCACCCCAGCAGATCTTTCATTATGCATAAAGGAGTCAGGGAACTTGCTACTGTCTACTGCACTCACCACATCAGGCACTCAGTATTTCTTACCTCCTTAAACTTGGGTGCTCCTGACAACTAAGGAGCTGTGGGCGCCCCCTGCTGGAGGCCTGAGATTGCTAGCCACATAAATTGTCTCAGTGACTTTCTGTTCCCCTCTGATACTGGTTCCTTTCATGACATCTCAGAAATATTACCTAGATGGCAGCTCTTGCAGTCTCCTCCCAAGTCCAACACCAAATTTGGAATTGAATGATCTTGATAGTGAAGGGGCTTTGGACAGGTCATGATTGCTTGATTTTAAATGACTGGATATAATTAACACACCATAAAAGCACCTCACAGTTTTGGGGGCTCCCAAGAAATATTCAAGCAACAGTGCTGAGTAATGATAAACACTGTACAGTTGTCCTTTGTTTGGCTGGGGAACAGTGTTTGTGAGTTGTAGTTCAACTGATGATATGGAGCTGGGTGTTTCTTCAGGTCATGGCAAAGTTACCTCTCAACTTGATTGTCCACAGCATATCACATAGCTTGATCCCGGTGTAGGATCCTGATAGCTGAGAAATCAATGTCACTAGTTTCTGGAAGGTTCTTACATAAAACCCTTTTTAAGAATCGATTGAGATATAATTAACACACCATAAAATTCACCCATATAAGGTACATAATTCAGGGATTTTAGTATGTTGAGTTGTTCAGCCACCACCATGATCTAACATCATGACATTTTTATCACCCTCAAAACACCCTTTGTAATAATGGCTACTCAGTGTGAGGTCCTTTTCTGAGTAGGTGAATTTTATCCACGCTTTTCATTTGTTGGTTTGTTCACTCATTTATTGGCTCATTCATTCATTCATTCTACAAACATGAGTTTTTTTTATGTTTTGGGTACTGTACCTAACTAATGTACATCCACCCAATAATATCATTAAATGTCAGATTTGCGGTTGTTTTTGATTACAACAGCTCTTTACATTTAGACACATCCCTCAGTCTGATGCTTACAAAGCCCTGCTGTCCACTTGCATTTTAAATTAAAGACAGTGATCTGGTGTTTGAACCACCATGGATCTTCTTGTTTGGCCCAATATTGACTGACCATAGCTGTCTCTGGAGAACTCGTGGGGAAAAAGGTTAATGGGAGATGAACACAGCTGAGGCCAATTCTCTCCTCTCCCACACAGGTTACAATGCTTGGAGGCGCTTCTGTGGGCTCTCCCAGCCCCGGAACCTGGCACAGTTAGGCCGGGTGCTGAAAAACAATGATTTGGCAAGGAAATTTCTAAATTTGTACGGGACGCCCGACAACATTGACATCTGGATCGGGGCCATTGCAGAGCCTCTTTTGCCAGGGGCCCGAGTGGGGCCTCTTCTGGCTTGTCTTTTTGAGAACCAGTTCAGAAGAGCCCGAGATGGAGACAGGTAAGCGATGCACACTACAAGACATCAGCACCAGAGGCAGAGCAGAAAAACATTAGAATTCCATGACTAAACAACAGAGGAAAGGGGCTTCTTTTTAGCTGCATTTCACTCAAGTTCACGAGATCTAAGACTTTGAGGCTCCTCCCTACAAAGCTGGGTCCAAGGAACAGAGACCCTGACCTAGCAAGGCTGACATTGCCTAAGTCTCTCCTTAATCCTAGGAGAGACTTGTCAGCCTCACTGTCCTGGGTAGCAGATCCCAGAGACTTAGTGGAAAGGTGCAAAATCTGGTTTCCTTGCGATAAGCTATGGCTTAATAGCCAACTCCACATTTGGATGTGGCATCTGCCCGGGTTCATATCCAGCCCTGGCCACATAAGTTACTGTGAACTTAATACTGGGTAATTTATTTAATCATTGAGTATGTTTCTTCATTTATAAAACTTGCAGAAAGTTGTGAGAAGTGCAGGAAATGCTGTATATAAAATACCCAGCGCAGACAGGTGCTCATTCTCCCATATCTCTTGGCCTCCTGGTAGGTTCTGGTGGCAGAAATGGGGTGTTTTCACCAAGAGACAGCGCAGGGCCCTGAGCCGGATTTCCTTACCTCGAATTATATGTGACAACACCGGTATCACCACCGTTTCGAGGGACATCTTCAGGGCCAACATCTACCCCAAGGGCTTTGTGAGCTGCAGACAAATCCCCAAGTTGAACCTCTCAGCCTGGCGAGGCAAATGAGGCTTCTGCAGGTAAGGGGAGGTCTGGGAAGGGTGAGGCCCTCATGTCCATCCCTGGGTGGATAGCTGAGTTCTTTCAGGCCTTTAAGCACAGATAACAAAACTTGTCATTGGGTCAGGGGACTTTTTCCTAGTGGCTTCCCAATGTGCTAGTTTCTGCACTGATGGTCAGTCTCAGAGCGTAGGACTTTGGGGGTTAATTATGAAGTGTCCTCAGCTTGGTCACTAATGCCCTAAAATGGCACATTCCAGGATGCCCAGTAAACTCCTCACTTATTCAATTCTGCTGTTTCCACAGGAGTTTATGACAAGCCCCCAAACCTCGGAGACAAGGGGAAGGGGACAATCATGATTCTTTCCACCCTGGAGCAACTATTTCCTGCTGGTGCTTTTGATGGCTACAGCTCAGAGCTGGCTTCATTGGCTGGGAGTGAGTTGGTGTTCTTAGTGGTGGTAATGCACTGACTCACCTTGGGAGCCTCTTAAGTATTATGAATCAGTGCCACAAGCTAGGACTTGTGGGTCAAGCCAGGAGGCCCTGAGGTCCTGGCAAGAGTCAGCTGGAGGGTTCCAGAGTTTTCTTCTGTTTTCCCCACCACTACCACCATGGCTTGGAGACCACACAGTCGCAGCATCTAGCCACCCCACAATCCCCTGTGTGCTACAGGCTCTTCTCTGCTTCAACCAATAAAACTGCTGAGGGCAGGGGCTGCTGTCTCTGTGTTGGGCTGGGGAGGGTGAGGACTCAGTCCTAAGCTTTGCCCAGATGTTGAAGAGGAGCACTCCTAAGATGCAAGCTGGCACTCATCTTGAAGTCACTCCTAGAGGCTGAATTAAGAGAGCTGAAAGAAATACTATGGATCAGGGAAAGAAGGGAAAGGGGAAGGGTGGAGGCATTAGGGCGCCAACATTACAAATAGCTCAATCAGGCTGGCAACCTGAGCAGAGAAATAGCCACAGAACTTCAGTCAATATAAATAGTTTTTATGTGCAAAAACCATAATAATAGATACCACCCATCTAGTAGAAAGGATTGGGAACTGCCTTCAGCCTTCATTTATTCCATAAATAAGTCATATCCTAAACTCAGCAAGCCCCAAGCAGTAGAATGAAGCTGCCCTGAAACTCACCAGCCAGGGATTTGAGATCTCTCTTACCCTCCTCCTTTCTGGAAAGAAAGAAGCCTTCATTTTTAAATGCTGTGAAACCAGAGATCTCTGCAACCCTCTGCTAGTGAGACTATGTGACAAGCCAGAAAAGAGGCTGTGTCAAGGTTAGGTTATGGGGTCAATCCAAACCAGTTTCTGACCAAAAAGCCTGCCTTGTTGTGATGTCCATTTTTGGAGCTAAAATATAAAGAGGGGGCCACATAGGGCTCCTGCTTTCTTTCTACATGGCAGGAAGAGGACCCTGATGAAGACTAGGCAGAGGGGCCAGCCTCGGAATTTCCAGGCTCTTCCAGTTCTTGGCAGGCCAATGTGGTCTCTTTTAAGAAAGATGAAGAGACAGGAGAATGCCAGCCTCACATATCCCTTGTCTTGTCCTCTTGTGCCAGAGGCCACAGCAGCAGTGAGCTAGGTGACCAAGGTTTCTGAGGGGCTCACAAGGTCCTGGGGGAGGCTTTCTCGGGCCTCCTGCATGCGGCGCCGGGCTCGATGGAAGGCCTCTGCAAGGAAAGGAGATGTTGCATATAGTGAGGTGTGGGAAGGAACGGGGCCCCTCTGACTCTAGGTGGCAGCTGGGGGGGGAGGAACCTACCCAACACATTGTGAATGGAACTTTGCTGGCTGAATCCTTCCAGACGGTCCAACACACTCCGCATTCTTTTCCTGAGGGAGCTCGACTCCATGAAGGCCCTGCAGGGAAGCCCATCATATGGCCACATTGCTCTCCAGCCTTCAGGGATGAGGTGCCCGAGGCAGAGGTCCAGGGTCACTTACCTGGACTGCTGCAGACAGTGCAAGCGGAAGGTAACAGTGCCTGTGGTCTCTGTGCGGAGTCCAAAGCGGCTCAGGCGCTCCCCCTGGGGCACATAGTAGAAACAGCATCAGTTTCAGTAGACTGTAGACTCTGAGAGCCTTGCTAACCTCACTGCCATTCTTATCCTCATTCTTGGGGAGAGCAGCTGTTGGGAAACCTCATTCCATCATTCAGACCCCGCCCCCCATTCACATACTGCAAGGCTAGCACCATGCTCCTAACTGTAACTCAGGGAGTATTACAACCTTATTGAGAATAGCAGGTTACATGTCTCTTTTGACTCCTTATCACATCTGATCACTGAGTCCTTCAGTAAGAGGAGGAAGAAGGGGCCAGATCTTCCGACAGTGACCAGAGGAAATCTCTAAGAGACCTGCTAGGATGGCAGTGTACATATCTGTACCTCATTCAAAATGTGGCCACGATTTCCAGTTTAAGCCACGGGAAGAAGGGTCAAAGTAATAGTGAAGTGATGAACAACTAAGAGAGTGACCTTAACCCAGACCCTACCTTCTACAGAATAGAAATAGGAACACAACTTCCCAACATAAAGTCTCCCTGAGGCAAGTCACCTTGAAGGTTCCTGGTATCCGCACATAGGACAGGTCCTCTAGCTCCAGAGAACCACCGATGAAGAATCTCCTCAGCTCAGCCACAGGGCCAAGGTCCATAGGCCTCCAAGTGGAGACTCTCAGGGTGTGTGAGCCTGGGCAAGGGAAGAGAATGGGGCCAGATCTGTGAAGGGCATGTGGCCCTTCAATGGCTCCCCAGCAATGACACAGGCCTTGATGCTGCTCACACTTCTGGTCAATGACAACCTGTCCTTTGATGTATGATATCACAGTGGTTAACAGCATGTTCTTGGAAACCAATCAGACAGAAATTCAAATCCTAGCTCTGTAGATGCTCACCTGTGTGGACAGGACAAGTTTTTTAACCTTCCTGAGCCTTTTCTCCTCATTCAGTATAATGGAAATAATGTCAACACCTACACCTTACTGAGTGGTTGGGAGAATGAGAAGCATTTAGCATGATGTCTGGCACTCATTAACCATGGTTTTTATTTGAAAAACAAATGCTGAGTCATTGGCTAAACAAACGCCAAGAGCCCACCTACCACACAGCTTCTCCCTAGAGGCTGTAAATCCAACCAGAGGAGCCCAGAGCACATAACAGAGACCACCAGATTGCTCGGTCCCAGGAAAGCTAGCTCTAATTTCACTTAGCTGTCTCTAATGGAAGGGGAAGAAATTCCTCAAAGGAACAAGGACTCTTTCAGATTAGATGCTTCTGATTCCTAATTATTCTTACTTCTCACCAGTAGCATTCAAACCGTTTGGGAATGTTAGACTTGTTCTCAGGACCTGGGGCATATGGGCCATCTAAAGGGCAGGGACAAGAGGTTACCTGGGGTGGCAGGCAGCATCGCAGCCCCATAGCCTTCCACACGGTACCGCTGCCAGAAGTCCAGTGAGAGGACCTCACAGTAGAGCACAGGCCACTCTGGGAGTGCATCTGGGAACAAGCAAGGGAAGCGTCCAGGTCATAGGCCCTCACCAAGAGAGCACAGGCCTGGAGAACCAAGATCCAGGATCAGTTGCTGAGCTACTCACCAGCAGATTCATCCTCATGGAGGAAGAGGGCTTCAAATGTGAATGGGTAGGAGAAGTAAGCCACCTTGTCCTAAAAAAGAGTGTCATAGGGTATGCAAGGCCTCACTTGGAATATGTTCTCCCTGTGGCTAATGACAAGGTTACCTTTGCATACAAAAAAGAAAAATTATCACCCCAGTGGGAAATAAGAGGCTAAGAGGCAAAGGGACAGCCAAACAAAGCCTCTGCCATTTTCAAAAAGACCAAGAGAGGCCAGGCAGCCCCTGCACAGTCCACACAGAAGGGTGAGGCCTAACTTCAGACTTCTCCTCAGTGTTGTTGGCTTGAAATAGCTTCAAATGTCACCTCAGAAGCAAACCGTTTTTCCCTTCCATATACCCTCCTTCATCCTCCATACCAATCCCAGGGACTTGGTGGCACAGGTCTGTGTGACTCCTGAGAGCTGCTGGACTGCTGGGCTTGACCAGTCTGAAAGCCAAAGACCAGACACAGTAAGCTCACCTAGGAGGAGAGCAAGCCCTTCAGAAAAAAGAAAGTAGCTGCTTTACTCATTCACTTATTCATGTGATAAATCACCCATTACCATTTGCTGAGTGCCTGCTATGTGCTAATGTATCCTGGGACTGTCCCGCTGACCAGATAGAAAAGAGCCTCTCTCTCATGAAGCAACACTCCAGTGTGCATGTGGGGGAAGAGCAGACCAGACATAACAGACTATCAGGTGGTGATGAGCACTACACTACAAATAAAAGGCACAGGGTGACTTGGAGGCCTATTTAGAGTGGGGGTGAGAAAAGGCCTCAGAAGAGACAGGATGAGACTTAAACTCTAGAGAAACCATCCAAGCGAAGACATAGCCCAAAGTTTCAGACAAAGGAAATGGTCCTGAAAAGGCCTACTGTGGAATGAAGTTGGCAATGTTTAAGAAAGGGAAGAATAACTGGACTGTTATAGGGGAGAGATAAGCAGGAACCAGCTCTTTCAGGGTATGAGGACTGGGTTTATGCTGAGTGAGTGAGGAAGCTGCTTGGTTTTTCTACTTAAATGAGACACAGGTTGTTTGCATTTTTAAAAGCTCAGTGTGGCCACGGTGTATGTGGCAAAGGAACTGCAAAGGGGAGCAAGAGAGGAAGCAAGAGGATAAGTCAGGAAAGATGCGATGCATTGACTAGGCGAGAGATGGCAGTGTGTGTGAAGAGTGTTACAGCTAGCCTCAGCAACTTAGGGAGGCCTTCAACGACTTAGCAAGACTGTCTCAAAATAAAAAAGAGCCAAGGATGTAGCTTAATTGTAAAGCACTCCTGGGTGCAAACCCTAGTACCAAACAAAGAAAAGTGAGCTATGTCAAATTCTTCAGGGAGGTTAAGGAAGGGGAAAGTCACCACTGGATTTGGCAATATAGAAGTGATCCATGAACTTGAATGAAGAGTGGGGAAAGAAGCCTGATTGAATGCCTCTAGAACTGTCAGACTGGGTACAGAAGGAGAGACTTAGGAAAATCACTTACTAGTAGTTGGCAATTCCACAAAGAAGTGCACGTAGAGATTGTCATACTCGTAGCCTTGGGCGGAAACTAAGAGAGAAAAGAGGAAATTGTTTCAGCTTATTGTGCTACCACCCTCAGCCCTCAGCACTCAGAGGCCTGTAAGTTCTGAAAGCAGACCTTCAGAGGGCCAGGAACCCTCTGTATGTCCAGGAAAGACCCATCAAGTTTCCCAAGTACTGCAGACATCATAAGGTGTGAGGTAGCCCAGGGTGGCACAGATAACCCACCCCTCCAATGGACTCTTGCCCAAGCATCAAATGATCTCACTTACCCACCTCTCCATTTACAAAGAGCCGGAGGGCACCTGGGGCGGTCTAAGGTGGAGAAAAGAGGGAAAAGATCAGGAGGGATGGAGGGAACCGGCACTTCTCCAGCCCTGTCCCCAAATCTGCAAAAGACCAGACACTAGATGTACTATTGCACTTCCTCCTTGACATTTCTCCACAGAAATGTTTTCTTCATTTATAAAACTCATAGGAGAAGGGTACGTAATTTAAATGGCAGGGAGGGCAATGTAGTATGGGAAGTTACCAAGATAAGCAATAGCAGCAATAGGAAGCAGAAACCCTTTAGATGGATGAGGTCAAGAAATTGAGTTTTCTTTTTCAATTAGTTGTGTATCTGTCTTGTTGA